TCTGAAATCAAAATGGAACTTTACCCTTTGTTAGTTCATGTTTACTTTATTAGTCACCATGGTCATATTAATTCATCACATAACAAAATTCTTATTTTACCATAATCGTCCATAAAAGTGTACTTACTTTTGCAAATATTGCATGAATATATAGTGCATTATGACTTCCAATTCACAACTTACAAACAATTACTTTTGTACTTTAACTCAAGTAAAAAACAAATAGAATACTTGTATTTTAATTATTTCTACTGTAACTCAGGTTCAGAAGTTTTGAACTTCATTCACGACTGGCGAGTAGGCTTCCTTCATTTTATTCACTATCTGAAACCACCAGTGAATCTACATGTGCTTTGTGTAATGGTGATGGTGGTAAAATAGTCATAAATCTGGAAAAAATAGTTTTCTTTGGAGAGTATTTTGCCCTGCATGTACCCCTCTGGCATAATTGATTCAAATGAATGTATAAAAAAAAAAAAGAACAGTAAGTTAAAATGTTATCAAAAAACTACCATAAAACAAAGTTTCATGCATCACACCGCATATATCTAACCATTCCACATAATAACTTTATGAAAGAGAGCTTTCAGAGGTATTGGATTCTTCAGACGTCTGGTTCCACTTTGACCATTTCCTCAATCGTAGGTTTCACTACAACAGGGCATTTCACGCCAAACCACTGTGAATGACTGTCAACACCACAACCAATTAATTATGAAGAATTTTTGAAAATCAGTGGAGTTCCCCTTTAAGTTTTAACTAACAGCACCAGTCACTCCATGTCTCTCCCTCTAAAGACTTCCTTCTAGCTAGCAAACTAACAGCCCCACACACCACAAAACCTGGTTAGTTTCTGCTGTTCGGACACTCCAGCACCATTCACTCGACTTCACTCGCTCAAATTTGAGTCATTTTTCTTGAAATTCGTTACAGTTTAGCACAAGTTAGCCGGAATCGAACCTGTCTTCCAGCAGAGCTGTTAGCTAGCTAGGTTAGCTAGATAGCCTGCTAACGTAATCTAACCTTGTGCTAACTTAGACAGCAACTCACAGTTTATTATCTAGATTTAAAACATGAATTCGACAACGTCGTTCCAGTTTTAAAATAGTAATTTAAAAATGAAGTTTGAACTGACTTGATCATTTCTTTTTTTTATATATATATATATATATATATATATATATATATACACACACACACACGTATGTATATTTATATATATGTGTATACATATGCGCGTAGGGCGGCACGGTGGCGCAGTGTGTAGCACTGTTGCCTCACAGCAAGAAGGTCCGTGGTTCGATTCCCGACCGGGTCACTAAGGTCCTTTCTGTGTGGAGTTTGCATGTTCTCCCCGTGGCCGCGTGGGTTTCCTCCGGGTTCTCCGGTTTCCTCCCACAACCCCAAAGACATGTGGGTAGGCTGATTGGACACACTCAATTGACCTCTAGCAGGGAGTGCACAGCTACTTTTTTTTTCCCCAGTCCACGAAGCACATTGTGAATCAGGGTCGTATTACCTAGCAACCGAGCCTACGCGCACAGCTGAAACGTAAGCACGTAATCCAGTCACTTAGCCAGACAGCTAACGTTAGCTACCGTTTCTGAGGTAAAAAGGTCTAACAAAAGCGCGATAAACTGAGAGTGAAGAATATCGTGCCAGCGCTTCGTGCTGTTTATCAGAGCGTCGCTGCTCCCCAGTTTCAGTTTCATTTCCCAAACGCTTTAGCCGAGCGCGCTAACGTTATTCCTCCTAATAAACACACGCACGCTCAGCTCTGTCTCCTCATTATTCACCACCATCACTGGAATATTGTATCATCAACATTAACACCCGAAGGTAAGAAGAGGGGACGGTGGAGATCGTGTGCGCAGCGTCTGGGCTTTAAAACGCTGTTAGAAAAAAAAACCACACAAGTCAAAGCTCAGTTTTCAGTGTAGATAAATGTAGTTAGCGTCGTTATGCTGGTTATAGTGATCTATGCTGCCCGACACAGCACAAAACAATAGAAACAGACGGTTAAACAGAACGTAAGACAGCTCTGGGGTTTATCCTAAAGTTAGGACAGAATTTAGGAGATTTAGTCCAGTTAGGATGTTTGTGTAATACTGTTTTCTTATCTGGAGTTAGGATAAGATTATGAACTTAAGAGCTGTTGTTCTGTAATAGCTTCTGTCCTAAATTCAGCCCTAACTAAAGTTGTTGTGCTGACTGAGCAGATAAGATTTCAGACTTAGAAAGTTTCTGCAATACGGCCCCAGGCTAACATTAATAGAGCATTAAAATACTTTAATTGGACTGTGGACTGTGCCAGTCCAGTATAGGACTGTGCTGCGTGCCTGATCTGTCCCACAGGCCTTGTGTTTGACAAGCTAAAGACAAAACTCTATGTGTTTATGTGTTTCTGCAAATACAGGCATTTAGCTGTCCTAATTTTAAAGATCAAGTCAAGTCAGGCTTTATTGTCATTGCAGCTATATACAAGTACACAGTGAAACAAAACAACATTCCTCCATAATCTTCCACCATGGACACAGGTTACAAAAACAGTGTTCAGAAGAGGAAAAAGAAAGTTTATTAGACTTGAAAAACAGACACACAGAAGCAGACAAACGGTCACAAACAGCTCTCTAACCTTGTGATTTTGATAGATATATTTGAGTAAATACGGTTTACAGACACATTCTGTTGTTCAGACTTCAGTGATTTTTAAGGTGTATTTATGTCTCATATCCTCATCAGTCTCGCTAAGTTGTGTAAATAGATTTGAAACATTTGTTGCTGAAATAAATAAACTGCATTACACAGCACAGTAATTAGTCTGTGTTATTATTGTTAGACTACTTACTTAAGTGCACCTAGGAGTTTGGTTTCCCTAACTTCTCGCTAAGTTGTGTAAATAGATTTGAAACATTTGTTGCTGAAATAAATAAACTGCATTACACAGCACAGTAATTAGTCTGTGTTATTATTGTTAGACTACTTACTTAAGTGCACCTAGGAGTTTGGTTTCCCTATAGTCTTTAAAGCTGAAGTCTTACTGTTATGGTACTAATGTCTTTACAGTAACGTTTAGTCATATTACGCCACCTTTACACTGAGAATACAGGGGGAATATCTTTAACCAGAGCCTGAGAATTGTATATTGCATCTGGAGTGCATTTAATGTACAACAATGATGCTGATAATCTATTTCTGTGCATGTTCATTTCACTCAGTAACTTTTATTCATGTTATACCACCCTTACTTACACTGAGTATACAGAAAATACAGTTACTCGGAGTAAGTTAGTTGAAAACGGGGCCAAAGCTAGCATTAGCAAGATAACCCGCGCAGTATTTGAGCATTAAAAAATCTGCTAACACATTTCATACTTTAAAACGTGTTTAACTATACGTCATTTTACAAACAACGTGACAATTCGCTTACCGCGAGAAACAGGACGAAATATCTAAGCCCCGCAGGGCAGCGTCGACTGAAGACGCCATGATGTCGACAAGCGCAATGAGGGGAAACAGGGGGAAATTAATTTACCGTAACACCTGTAAACGGAGGAAAATCTAGCTAATGTTGTGAAAACAGAGCAAGCGTTACTGATATTGACAATACTCGGGAAAGTTCTTTAAAAGGGGAACTATTTTTCAGTATTTCTGCATAATGAAAGGGTTAACATGCCAAAAAAGATATTCAGAGTGGTTTGGTGTGAAATGCTCCGTTCTAAAGAAACGTAGCTATGGAGCCAGACTTGTTCACAGTTGTGACAGGAACCAGGCGTCCACCTCTAAAAGCTCCCTCACAGAATATAATAATATGAAATCGTTATGAATAGTCACCTTGATTAATTAATTAATTATTTCACATCAAACTGTACTGAATGACTTTGTTTATATCTCAACCACTGAATTATGCAGAAATTTTAAAAGATCGGTGGAATTCCCCTTTAATTCACTCTAACGTATAACCTCGACCGACGAACACGGCAGTGTAATTAATCTTAGACATGTTGCCAAAACTGAATAAAAACAACGTTTATTTTAGCCAGACACGCATTTGTGCTCTGTAGTTGTTTTTCAGGGGCCCTTATTGTGAAAAACAACACCGGCACAAACCTCTTTCGTTTGATTCATGTACCACAGTGTCGACTCTATGATTCATCGGGCCAGTGGCGCAATGGATAACGCGTCTGACTACGGATCAGAAGATTCTAGGTTCGACTCCTGGCTGGCTCGAAATCTTTTCTTATTATATAGGTTTTTTTTTTTAAACCTTTTAAATGACAACGTGAAAATTCAATCCATAACGCGCTTTCTTATATTAGTGTTTCACTTCCAGTGAAACGAGCTGATTTAAAGGGGAAATGCGCCGATTTTTCAAAATCTCCTCATAATTCAGGGGTTGAGATATAAACAGTCATTTAGAGTAGTTTGATGTAAAATGGTTCATTTGCAGATTAATCTGCATACTCAGATTTCTTTACAGTGGTGGTAGGACCCAGGGACCACAATGTGTACAAAGCAAATATAGTCATTTTATTTACTGTACAAAACCACCAGTGAACCTACACGAGTTTTCTGAGTTTTATATGCACTGTTGTTAGTGGTAAAATAGTAGTAAATCTGGAAAAAATATGTTTGGCACATTTCAGGCCAAAACCTTCGCTCAAAACGCTGTAAAACATTGTCTCAGGCATCAGGCAGTGTCTTCTTAGCCATTTCATGTGTTCACTTTCTTCAAGGGTTTTTTAAAGGCATTAAACAGTTTAGACATCTGGTTCCTGTCACCACCACTGTGAACAATTCTGAATTGGTTCTCTAGAACAGCGCATTTAGCATTGAACCACTCTGACCGACATTGTTTACATCTTAATGATGCAAGTTTACAGAATTTTTGAAAAACTGGTGGAATACCCCTTCAAAACCTGAAAGCTCATAATGTGCAAAAATTTGCATTAGCAAAGTGGTGGTAATCAGAAAGGTGTACATACAAAATCAAGAGTTCCTGAATTAAATACTGCTTTATAATGTTTACACAGATCAAAAATAAAGTTAATGAACTTTACTACTGCAACAGTCCATACATTATTTCCGCCGGTATAGTTCAGTTTTCGGTGTGATGGCCGCAGTCAAAACAAAGGCGTCAATTATGATCCATCAGAGATCCATCACATGAATGGCACAATAGAACAACTTTCTCGTTGTGATACTGAAATAAAATCAGATTTTAGATAACAAAACAGTAAAAATCTCTTTTTACACCATTCTTTAGTCAAAGTTATAATGACGAATCCCCTTTAAACAGAAGACATTTAAAGGGGGACAAAGTCCATTACATTTTGTCCCACCTCCTTGTTTCTACACTCATTGTCCATTTTATCAGCTCCACTTACTATACAGGTGAACTTTGTAGTTCTACAATTACAGACTGTAGTCCATCTGTTTCTCTGCATACTTTGTTAGCCCCATTTCACCTTGTTCTTCAATAGTCAGGACCCCCACAGAGCAGGTATTATTTACATATATCATTTATATAGTGACACTGATATGGTGGTGGTGTGTTAGTGTGTGTTGTGCTGGTATGAGTGGATCAGACACAGGAGTGCTGCTGGACAAGTTGTCAAAGAACTTTGACACTCTATAAAAAAGTGCTTTTATCCTGTACAAAAATGTGAACATGTAACAACATCTTATTAATTGTTCATTGTAATTTACCACTGAAAATACACTAGACAGACAGTTTAATGAATGCATGAGGAATAGTATTAAAAGTAAACGGCTGTCCAAAGAAAGAATTTCCTATACAGGATTTTTCCGAACATCAATAATGGCAGAATTTGAACCAATGGGTCCTGTGTTTAGGCTTGATCTCCGGAATTCTCTCCGCGGTTTGTTTAGAGACAATGAGGCTGTCCCACTCCAATGTGCAGTGTTCATAGCAGGCTGGACGATTCTGTTGGCTGGAAGCTCACATGCTGCCCTTTGTCGGAGCTCCTCCATGCCATGCTGGTCTTCTGTGGGGAGGGAAGAGCGCCTCCATGTGGGAGGCAGGGGCGCATGCACCAACTCCCGCATTTCCTCCCTTGATTTGTGCACTCTGTCAGGTTCAGGAGTGCACTTTGCACTGTCTCCAGTTCCTTTGCACTGAACCCTCTCTGCTCCACCTACGGTGCAAATAATTCATCTGTTTAAAGGGAGCTTCACAAAAATGTATACAGAATACAGTCACTGTCACTCCTAACTAATCACTCACCCTTGCTCTGATCTCCAGACTGGCCTGTCGGTCCACACATGTCCTTTATTTTATTGCTGAGCTCCTGATTGGCTGCCTTGCACATGTTCAGCTCTTTGCTGAGGTTGTGGATCAAGCCCTCATACTGCCGCTGCCTACCAGCCAGACCTTCATCCATTTGATCTGTGGTCAGAAAAATACAGTAAGACTTGTTTCTTCTCTTACATCAACAACAGGTTTCTTTGGAGCTTCTTCACATCTTCTGCTTAATGACATCTACTGAGTTTTCAGGGTCCTCAAACAGAACTACTCATTCATTTATTCAAAGAATGTTTTTTGTGCACTATGAGAGAGATGCTAACAGAAAGATGGACAGCAGTGAGTAAACTAGGGTGCGTTTTAAATGCTACTTTGGAAATACACTAAAATAGTTTGACAATCACTGTTCTATACTCATGATGATTGATTTCATACCTGATTTCATACCTGAACTGAACCCAATGAGTGGCCACTGTCACTAGCTTTTTATTCTGAACCTGAAAACTGTTCAGACGCTGCAAACAATTTCTGTTCAGTACTCACTACCCTCATGTAATTCAAACTGATGACAGGTATTGTATAGTTTTATTGATAGTTTGAGATTAAAAAACATCTGATTTAGATGTTCGAAAATTAATCTAAACTGACTTTTGAACCTCTAACCAACGTAATCTTGCCCATGTCAGTTATTCCAATTTGTTTTTTAAATTCTGTCAATACTTTTTTTTTTTTTATTCTGTTAATCCTTTCCCCACCCTGTAGCTGTGTTCCAAAGCCTACGCTGCAGGTAGGCTGCATTTCTTAGCCGCTACATCATAGAAAGTTGTTCCCATGTGAAAAACTCTTCGTATAAGGCCTAAAAATTCATACTACATTCAATGACACAACTGATGTATCCCTCCAGACACGAAGAAAAAAAAAAAATAGCATCACGAAAATGGTGGAAAACGAAGCCAATGGAGCGGAGCTTATTTTAAAACGTAAGTTGTTCACGTCCTTGAAGTCGTCTTCATGACCTTGTAAAGTGTAAAATGATTAATTAAAGCATTCGTCCATATATCGTATTTTTATCATACATATTTGTAGTTTATTGCACTACATAAGCTTGTTGGCATATTAGCTGCCATAGCAACACACACAATGCAACAGGCTATATTTTCTCTCACCAGTTCCCTCACAAGTTTCCCGGCGCAATTGCAAGACCTTTCTGGTGACATCACCATGCAGCCTCAATAGGACTGTTCCATTCGTGTGACCAATAGGCCACTAAGAATGAGTCTTCATAGGACAGTCCAACCAAGGCCTAGGCTGCAGCCTAGGCTTTGGAACGCAGCTTGTGTGTTCATGTACTGTCCCCTTAAAAACATACTACCGCGCATGTAGTCACGTGACTCCGCCCCATGCCACATGGAAGCTCACACACCGAGCCAACTGAGCAACTCAAGTAGCTTCTACCAAAGAAAAATGCCTTGCCCATCGTTTGGACACATTTTGGCTTTATTTGAAGACGGCACCGAACAAAAAGAAGTCAAATGTAAACACTGCAGAAAAACTGTTTCAGCGACCAAAAGGTAATACCACCAATCTTCAACACTTAGAGCCCAATCACGTTACCAAATATGAACAGTGCATGGCTCAAACAAATAGAGAGACTGACAAGCGCAAAGCAGCTGTCAATAACACAAGCACTTACGAATGCTACGCAAGATTCAGGAAGATGGAAAAAAATAACTGATGCCATTTCCTACTACACCAGTTCAAACCCTCGTGAGAAGATACACTGCACCATCGCAAAAATGTTTTTCCCCAAACCATGGTGCCCAACTCGTACAAAACATGTAAAAAATAGCTGAACTGAAACCTGTTCAGCACTTCCAGCCACATCTGATCTCTGGTCAAGCAGGACGATGGACCCATCCTTTGCACTATATTTAAACTTTTCACGTGGCATTAAACACTTAAAATTATATATATATATATATATATATATATATATATATATATATATATATATATATATATATATATATATATATATACAAGAGATCCAAGTTATTTTCTACTTTCCATATGGCAATGTTTAAATTATTTTGTTTGTAGGAAATGCAAGTTTTTTATTTTCTACTTCTTTAAGGAACCTGCTTTTTTACATTAAAACTAAAATTTGACCTTTTTCATAAACCATTTTCATTTCAAGTGATGTGTGCTTTGATTTTAATTGTTCAAAGTATTCAGTAAATAAAAATAAATAGTTAATCTGTATGCGTTTCCTTCAATTATTATTATTAAAATCACAAAGATATGCACTCTTTCCTTAGGAAAAATATTGTAATCGAGGTAAAATGTTCAATTAATCGTGATATTGATTTGAGGTAATATCGCCCAGCACTAGAATCCAAATCTGTAGTCATTTTTTTTTTCATTTTCACTGCTGAAATGAGCTCATAGCTGAGACATTTGGACACATTTAAAGGTTGGACGTCTCTTAGAGCTTTCCTTTCAGCTTGAAAAAAGTCACACACTGCTTCACCACCTCCTGAATGTGACTGATCACTCAAAGCTACAGTATGTAAGTTTTGGGGATTAGGGACCTCTCTGGTGGAAATGTGTAATTTCACGCAACATGCGAAAGAACATTTTGTAACATCGGTTGTGTATTCGTGCGTTTTTACACTACATTTAGATTCAACTAGGCTAAGTCAGCTAATGGCAAAAACAGAAAAATTCAAATTACATTGTGATGTGCCTAGAGATTTCCACCCCAATGCCCACCAGTAATTGCAAAATCAAGAAGTAAAGACCTTTGATAAAGAACTTTGATAAGGGCACAACACATTTTTCCCCACAATCAACCAAATCAATAAATACTTGACTTTGCTGACTAAGGCATAGTCTACTAGAAACTGTCCCACCTCTGCACTGCTGCAGCAGGAGCTGCACGTTCCTTTCGTGTTCTTTCTGCTGTTGGGTTAGCCGCCGGTCCGTGTCCAGCTGCTGCCGCTCTAGAGCCGCCTCCAGCCACTGCACCAGGTGCTGCTGCTCCCCCACACGCATCTCCACCTCCGCCAGAGCCATCTGCAGCCTCCGCTCCTCCTCCCGTAGGGACACCACCTTCACACATATTCATTCATTAAGTAATGCAGGAAACATCATTATTTATAAATTGAACAATGTAAAGCCACCTGGTGTTTTCAGATGGATGTAAAAAAAATGAGTTATAAGATTTTCTTACAACACTGATAAAATGATATTCAAGTGAGTCCTAGGAACGTAAGAAGTGCAGACCTTATCAAAGTACTTGCAGAGCAGGGCACGCGTTTCAGAAGCAGAAAGGTAGGTGAGCTTGGCCATCAAGTTCATCTCCCACTGTGTGAGCATGCTTCCCGATGCCCTCAGCTGCCTCTGCCTCTGAGTGATGGCCTCATTCTTGTACTCGATGGCAGCATCTAGTGCCTCTATTGCCTCATCCAGCTGGAACAGAGTGCGCTCCTCCTTAAAGACAGTTAAGGTACAGTGAGGGTTTAACAGACGTGATGACAGCTTGTTTGAGAAATGCAAGCCTGTTAAAAAAAACAGCAGAGTTTTCTGTTCTCTGGTTATATCCAAGATTCACCTTCACCGTAGATTACGCATGTTTACATTCATGATTATCAAGGACAACGACATCCGGTTCTCTTAATGGTGCTCTAAACAGAACATTTATCAAGAATACAATATAACCACAACAGTGTGTAGGCAACTTGAGTATGTACTACATCAAGTGGAATACAGAAAAGAACAGATACAAATGCAAAAATAAATAAATATATAAATAAACTGTGGGATTCAAAGAGTAAACACTCCAGTAACTCGCATCCCACGCACCACTGAATGCAAAATGTTTGGGTCTGATATTGTTATTGTATTTTGCAATTTTGCACTGATGTCTTGCACCGTGTGTACGTATAAATCTTTGGGCACAAATTATACATCCTCTACAGATCGCACAGCTCTGCACATTTCAATGTACATTTTCTAATTTGCTAAACGTAACATATTGAGCAAGAAATCATATAATATGGCCTGTGCAAACATTGTCACATTTTATATTTTAAGTCCTCCCTGGCCCTCTGATATGTTAAACTCAGCAAATTAAAAGAACTGTAGAGAAGGGATTCTAAACCTTTTCTACCTTAAGACCTACCCACTTATCACTAGAAAGCATGACAGCCCACAGGAAAATGTTTTCGTTCAAAAATGCAATATTTGGGAAATTTTTATCACAGCCATGTTTGGGTGTTTACACCCTCCAATACAGGCCATTTATCAGTGAACATGAAAGATCAACAGATCAGGCTAATGTAATCTCACTTTATACCAAAATCAGGCAGAATGGTGGCAAATTACGTGGAATGTTTCTACAACACAATTTGTGACACCAGCTGCTCGCAAGTTGAGCTGAAATGTCGAGGGAAGTGTATTTAGTTTTCAGCACAAAGTGGAAAAAATTTGACGAAGCTGCCTTCGTACGCTGCAGTTACAGGACTGATATTGATACTGTTTACCATATGAAAACATTTTAGATTTCTTTTTCATTGTCAAATCAATTTTTTGTCAAACAAGTGCCAAAGAAAGAGATTTCTAACAAGTGCCATCACCAGCCCACTATGAATCACTTGGCCCTGACTCAGTGTGGGCCTGAGGACCACCAAAGGGTGCTTCCTGGCCCACTTGTGGTTCACGGCCCAGTGGTTGAGAAACCCTGCTATACAGGATGTGAACTTATTTTCACGTAGAAAATCAACAGAACATGTAATTTGACCAGGGGTATTCAAACTTTGACATACAACTCTAGGTTTAATTATTTGCAATTACATAAATAATGTATGCCAGGTATTCAAACACAGCAGTTGTACTGTGCTGAATGCTGCTGCTGCACTTGTAATAAAAAAGCATAATTATGCATGACTCATTGCTCTAAATTGTGCTAGCTGTCTCTTACTTTTAATGTAGCACTTTATTTGATTCTTGTTATTTAAATACACAACAGCTTTTTCATTTAAAAAATCAAAATGTCAGTCTGGCCCATTGAAAAGTGAACAATATTACTGATATTTATACTGATATTATTACTAGTATATATTTTAAAAATCTGAAAAAAAAAAAACAACAGCTCATTTGGCTGTAATAAATAATAAGAATAAATGAATGGAACAAGCCACACATATTCAGGACTAGCACATCCCTAGTTATAATATGTATTTATTATATGCACATATAGTCCAGCAGTTTGTGCCAGCAACCAAATGTCATCTTAGGGATCAATAACGTCTTCCTGTCTGTCTGTCAATCTGTTTGTCGATCTTTGTCGGGGACATCATGCTTTCAACCCACCTCAGGAGAGAGCAGGTTCCCCTGACGCAGTTTGTCGTCCAGCTCCACTCTCTGTTTAAGGAGTTGCTCTTTTTCCTGCCGCAGGTTTGAGATCTCCTGCCGGATCTGCTGAGAGTCCTGTGCGCTGCTGCTGCGCAGCAGACCGTTCCGCTCACTCAGCTCCCTCTCCAGAGATTCAATACGACTCGTCAGCGTCAACAAGTCTTTACTCAGAGCCTGTCAGGGAAAATGAGTGCATTGGACCTCAGACCACAACACTAGACCCGGCATGTATCTGTCAGCCTTTGGTATACCTACTGTGAAGTAAGGTTGCCGAGCATACTGCCTTACTGAAAGAAGAAAAGCTTGACAAAGAATGTTTCTGCAGACTTTTCATGTAGAATTTAACTGAATGCTGTGTTATACGAAACACAAAACATTGTGAAACAATGGATGGCAGAGCTGGTCTCACAGACCTGGCTAGAACGGAGGCGTTTCGTCTCCAGGCCGCTGCGCTCCAGGAGCAATGCCTCCTTTTTGGCCAGGATTTCCTCTCTCTTGGTTAACTCCCCCTCCAGGTCCTCCAGACTTCTCCTCTGCTCCAGGACCTTCTCCATTTCCTCATCCAACCAGCGTTTCTGCTCTTCGATCTTCTGCACAGAAGAAAATTGATAACACTGTTTAAAACAAAGTGCAGTAGTTTGAATTATGAGTTGCAATTTTATTCAAACTTCTGCTGCTCCAGTGAGGGAAGTGCACACTGGCAAACATGACTAAACATGTTCACTACATAGAGTGCAACAACCTCTATCAAAACACAAGCTTAAATACCAGTCAATGCATGCTCTGAGTCCGATCCTAAAACATGCTGAAACAAGCCGAAAGATGCCCTAAAACTACAAATACCAAGTCTAACAATTATAAATAATTTGGCACTAGATTTAAGGCAGGTTTCAATAAAGATTTTATTTTAGTTTTGATAAGGCTGTGGTCAGGCCTGTACCTGCTGTTCCTCTAGTGAGATGACAGAGCCGTTACTGCCACTTCTCCTCTGCCGCTGGAAGGCAGCAATTTCCTCTGTTTTAATCCGCAGGATCTTCTGCTGCTGCTCGTTCTTTATCTCTAACTCCTAAACACAGAGAAGTAAAAAATTCCATAAATGAACAAAAAAACTTTTATGCTTATTAATACGAGTGTAAACATGTAATGATCCATCATAATACATTAGTCTGAAAGCAGCAATTCAGCTGCATCAATTCTGAAACATAACAACTATAATTGATTCAATTCAAAGTGTTTGGCCATAAAATAAAAGTTTGGTGCATTGTTTTTTGCGATCAAATGTTATTTTTAATTAAGATATTAATGTTACATACAAAAGGCAAAGTATATGTTGCAAAATGGAGCATATCTGTGTATTCACTGCATTTTTAAAAATAATTCTAATCTTATCAAAACAATTGAAAAATGAGATTACACATGCACTGACCCTTTTTCTAAACAGTAATAACTGTATCAAATCCTTGTGTGGTCAGAGATTTACACCTCTACCTAATGTACACTGCATTAGAAACATGCATTACATACATACAACATACTGGACTGAAAAATCCCATGGGGTGTTCTCACCTTCACGCGGTGTTTTCCTCGCTGCATCTCACTCTCCAGCCGCCTCTTCTGTTGGCTCTCCTCTCGCAGACGCCGATGTAGCTGGTCTTGCTGCTGCCGCAGGCTCTGCACACTTCTCTCCAGCTCCTGTACACGCCGCTCGCTCTGCACAGACAGAGAGGCCAGCTGCGCAGTGTCCCGCTGTCTCTGCTTCAACACCTGCAAGCATGGATGGCAAATTAAAACTGTGCAGTTAACTGCGTTTTTGCATCAAAACAAAAAAAAGGGACCTCAAACTACCGTAAGAACGCTGCACACTAAGCAGACATGGTTGTAAGTTTGCTATGATTAATTTAGTCATTTCTCTTTTATATTTGCCTCTGTGGATTCATTCAGGGTGTAGCATTAGATACAGTGTCAGCATTAATAAAGGGAATACTTTGCCAGTGCTTCACTTGCAATAACTTCACTTGCATTCAGCAGAAACACCACTACTATCACAACAAGAATCCTATATAATTCTACAGTTAAATGCAAGTTTACTTGATTTAAGTCAGGGGTGTCAAACTCAACCACTAAAAGGGCCATACTGAAAAATCTCAACAAACCCGTGGGCCAGAGGACGCCTATGTTTTTATTTCATTTTTAATTAATGTTGTACTGTAACCTGAACGGGCCATTGTTTATACAAAATACATAGAAATTCAGCAGTAAAATATAAGCACTTGTAGTAGACCTTGAAATATTACATGAATACTTGAAATATTCAAAATTTGTCAGTCTCCAGGACCTCCGTCTTTTAAACCTACCTATTTGCTTGAACTAGACACCTGGTATCCTTTCTTTGCTGCAAGTTCATTAAGACTTGGGCTCAATTTCTGAGCTGCTGAGCTGACGTTAGGTGTTTACAGTGGTTGAACTGCAGCTGAAGTGCAGCTAGTGTGTTTGGTGATATGACAGGTGTGGAATTCTGTAGAGATGTGTAGAATTGAGGTGTAACCGCTGTCCCATACATTGCTTTTATGGTAGGAGAGTTGGAGCACACATTACGTTGGAGTGCATGCTAGGGACTGCAGTGCGGCGCATAGTGAAATGGGCTAATATTAATAGAAAATTTAAATATTTTTGCGGGCTGAATAGGATTGTGTTGCAGGCCTGTTCCAGCCCGCAGGCGTTGTGTTTGGCACATGGGATTTAAGTGAATACTAAAATATTTATTAAATCTCTATATGTATTTATGATACTACTATGACCCTGAATCAGAATTACCATTATTATTACTACTAGTAGATTTGCTCAAATAAGTATATATGTTATATACCTACAATTCCTACTTTGAAAAAAAAATGTGGGACAATCAGGGTGCATGTGCGTAACATGACAGCTCTACTTTACCAAAGCTCCTGCCAAGGCCAACACTAGTATGTGCAACAACCTGACCTGCACTTTGCTCTGTGCAGCTGCAATCTTCCTCCTGCACTCCTGGGCTTTAGAGCGGTCGGCGGCATCGCGGCTGCCCTGCACCTCCAGGTCCTGCAGCTGTTTCTGGGCCTCGGTGAGCTCAGCCCGGGCCTGTTCAGCCTCCTGCTCCAACTCTGCCACCTTGCGGCTGTACTGCCTGTTCATGGCCTGAGCATCTTTACCTGCAGGCAGGCCAAGAACCCAAGACACCATAAGCAAAAACAAACTACACTGCCATTCGAGGGAAAAGGACATCTCTTTACTACTTTACTATTAACAAACTGATGTGATAAATGTGATGTTTCCTGTACACCTCAGGAAAACAGTAACAGCAAATCAGAAAGAACTCAATTACGATTACAGAACTCAGCTCAATTACACTCAAACTCAGCCACAGGAATTCACAGAGCACTATCTCTGAAGAGGTCATTTTACAGACATCACCTGTGGTTTTGATCTCAATCCTGGGACCCCTGTACATGTTTGTGTCTTCTCTGGTCTAACAATTAGTTCATGAAAGGTATGATTATGATCTGAGTATCATGGAAACACAAAATATACATGGGATTTCCTGGACTGGGAATGAGAACAACTGCCTTATACTTCTTAAGCATTTAAAACATGCAGATACCTTTTACATCATTATAGTCATTATCAGCATTACCTGTTTTGACCAACTCCTTGATGAGCTCCTCCTTCATCCGGATAGTGATGGAGAGCTCCCTGATCTTCTGCTGGGCCAAGAACAGCCCCCTTTCTGAGCCCAGCTCCAACACACAGCCTCTCAGACTCTCCAGCACTGAGCTCTCCCCTATGCTGCTGTTAGCTATACAAATCACAGAGCAGATCAAACAGATGGGTGAGGAGATACTTTGCACATTTTCACCAAAAAGTGCTGATGTCGTTAGCAAGCAATGAAAATTACTAGTACACAAAACTGCCCCCTGCTATCTTTCACTTAATTTTAGCCAAGCTTAATTTTTAGCTATTGCATTAATGTAAAAACAGCTGTACAGGGTTGTTGCTTAACTTTAATGAACACAAAAAGAAACAAAAAATGAAGGCATATTAAAGGTTAGAGCTGGCTGTCAACAAGAGTTTTTAAGATATTATCTGGATAGTGTAAACAATTTCAGTACTCACAGGTGCGTCTGTTGCAGTGTAATACTGGTGGATAGCTTGCTCCCAGCACCTGAGACAGAGGTGCTCTAGCTCGTCCAGGTGATGCTTGAAAAGGTGCATCTTTCTTTGACCATGTAGTATTCATACATCTGTAGAAGACCAAAAAGAAAACGAAATTATCAGTGAAAATTCAATCTACAAGGTACTAAGTCTATATTTACATTAGCTACTAATGCATTTTATTAAAATGATACTACAATAGTAAAGCTAACTTGCAATCTTTCGAACATTCTTTCTTTAGAGCACATATTTCTAAACAGTAATTTTTAAACAGTTTTTTTGCCCTCCATCTGATCAGAATACTGAGTATCAGTAAATATTGAGCCAGACCCGATATTTTATTTTCACAGATAATACACACACACAATTTAGGTAAAACATGCTAAGATATGCTTAAGATCAGATAACCTACCAATTAATCCTACAGTAAAACAGCACAGTAATGACACTGATTAGGCCTACTGTTTTGGCCATTTATAGTGTGTCTAATATTGACATTAAATCCTATTTGATCTCCTCATTTGAAGATTTGGCTACCACTTAATTTTAAAAGCAACAGTAAAATTAAAGCACATGCTTTTATATTTGACGCATTAAGAATGCATCAATTGTACTGATTCTGAACTGATATATTTTTTGTGGGCTACTTAAGTGAAATAATCGGAAAAGGTGGGCATATTCACTAAAGTAGAGTATTTTGACCGCGCTTTTGTTTTACACCAGTCGTGACACGTAGGTGAAAACGTCATGGGAGTATATTTGGTACATGATTTTGGTGGCACATGTCGAAGCATAAAATCGACTTGAACTATAACACACATGTAAAAAGGGACAATAAAAGATCAGAACTGAATTGGGCTTACATTAGCCTATACTGACTCACCTCCCATCCCTAGTAACAATGTTCCTTGTTTCTTACATTTGCAAATCCAACCAACATTCTAACAACTTATGAACAAGATTCATTACTACAGCCTCAATATACCAAGGGAACTGTTCATGATAATTTGGCATCTCCTTCTCAGACCACCTCAAAGCAAACGCTGAAAACCCTGAATAAACAAATTATGTGCAAAATTATGTGTAAAAGCCACTATGAGTGGTTCTACTTGTATGTACGAAAGGAGCATGCTGAAGATCATCATCCATACTTGCGTTTGTCTTTGCCCCCTCTGCTGGGAGTGTCCTCTATTCCTCCGCAGGACTCCTGCTCCTTGTCCTCTTGTCCACACTCCCACTGAACCTGCTCTGAAAATGAATAGCTGTCTACTGAAGCACCCAGGCCTGCCTGAAAACACATAGTACAAAGAACATGCTATTTTAAAGGAATAAATAATGCACTATAGGCAGACAACTATTATGACTTATGATACATGGTGTATATCTTAAGCAATCGTAAGGTCAAATGTTAAGGTTTAACAGGACATATTAGTAACACTCAGATAACTGCAACATCTGAAAAATCAGCTACCTGTCGTGAAGGACTTCCGCTACTGTCACCATTATAAAGATGTGTTAAATGGCCTGGGGCAAGTATTGCTTGTTGTACTGAGTTGATGGGTGCAGTGTGGGGTCTTTGTTTCAGATGCAGCAGCCCCATCCCACCAGGCTGAGCCAGTAGACTGTGTAACTCTGTTATAAGATCCTGCTGCTCCTGGAGCTTGTCACTCTGAAAGGGAAACCAAAGCTAAGATGCAAAATTCTACTACACTTCCATTAACATATGATGACAATTTACATTTTTTAAAGGTATAATATAGTCTCACATAGCTGCATCAGTGTTCTCTTACCTGCTGTTTGTACTGTTCCATTGCATCTTCCAGGGCAGCAAGGAAATCTGTGTTTTCCTGCTCTAGCTGTTGGATTTGGGCTTGCAGCTGGGAAATATAGTCTTCCTTCTCCCTGTTCCACTCTTCTTTCATATAATTTTGTTCCTGAAACACCAGAGCAATTGCAAATGAAAGTGTAACGTATAAGGGGACTTAGAAATGTGCCAGTTATTTGTGAATGAGCTATTTTTTTTATGTCAGGGTCATCCCAATCTTTGGGGAACAGCTTACTTTGCAGGTCTGCATATTTCGTACTTATTTTCCTTTCACATTTTATTTAAAGGAATATTTAACAAATTTATTCAATAATGCTTACAAAAATGAGGGCTGGTTGGGTTCACACTTCAAGTAGTCCCAACTAAAATTCATGATTAACAAAATTAGCATTTCATAGTAAAGTACTCCTATATTTTTTGTATACTACCACATATGAAAAGAACTGTTTTCATTTGTACATATATGTAAATGTACTAGTAAAGGATCTGTTAGACGGCCTACCTGGCCCTTTAGAAGTGCGCGTCCCTTTTTGAGCGTGGCAGTATCCTCCGTAGAGCTGCTCTCAATGCCGCTGTCCAGCCCCGAGGCTGTGGTCAGGCCGCTGCGCTCCTCCTCCACGGCACAAAGCCACTCCTTTACCCTCAGCAGCTGGCCAGAGTTCAGCGTTCCTTCCCCTTGTAGCTCCATCAGCAGCCTGTAGGCTGTGTCTGTGCAAGTCCTGTAGTGGGCGCTTTCTGCCTGCAGCTTGCTTACATCTGGCTCAAGGGGCCGTGTACGGCGCTCGGTGTCTGAACGTGCGAGGATTCGTGTTTCTGAGCGCTGCCGGTTCTCCAGAGCCCGCTTCAGAGCTTTGATCTGGAGCTCCAGGCCTTCAACCCGATCTGGCTCTCCACGACAGTTCACCATCGCTCGGTTCTGGATGTTGCGAGCTCGTTTAGCATAATTGAGAGTGTTGAGGCTTTCGTCAAAGTCTGAGGATGAGGGGCTGATGCAGGCAATCATGAGGGTTTTGGCATTGCCTCCAAGAGAGTCTTTTAAGATTCTGTGAAAACGAGAGAAAGTGCGCAATAACTGCAATTTATTCTTTCTTCAAGGAACAGATAACGAAGAAAGCTAACAGTGCTAATAAAGCATGCAAATTAGATCATGTTAACTGATATTCATTAGCTTTCATTCACTGTTCTGGGTGGAGCTTTATGTTATGGACCTCAATAACTTATCTAAATCTAACAGAATTCCACAGAATTCCACTTTTTCCTAGAAATCTCTTTTTATTATTTGTGCATGTAAAACAAATAAAATAATAAATAAAGCTTCATACCTTGTGATTTTGGAGTCCCTATAAGGAATATGAGTGCCTTTTCTCTTGGGGTCTCCTAGCGCCCCGATCACATTTCCTAGTGCAAGAAGTCCACTGTTTATCTGAATGCTCTCTTTGAGCCGCTCCCCAGTGTTACCAGTTTTGAGGATGCGCTCGGATCCGGCGAGGTCCACAAAGTGGAACTTGGAGGAAAGGATTTGCAGGCTTCCACTGGTGGCTCGCGAGCCGCCGCGCCGCTGCTCCATGAGCACAGTGAAGATGGTGTGAGAGCGGCTGGAGTGAGGGTTCATCTGGGTTGCTCCTGTGTGCCGGGCCGTGTTCCCAGATTCCAAAAGGCTCAAGACCTCATCGAGCCCTTCCACTTCACACTCCTTCACTCCACACAGGACTATGGGAAAGCATGGGGAAAAACGCTGTCTTGTGAGTATCACTCAGTGCCATTCCTTTGGACTGAATCATAGCTAGCGCTGACTGATTTTAACAAACTATCTAATTGTGATTTTTCTGAACAACATTGCGATTTAAATGCAATTTGTTTCTATAAATTAAGCTCTGGGCCATTTATTTGCCAAGATGAGCAGCACATCCATTTTTCTGGACGCTGAATGTAGCGAGCCAGTCTGCCAGTTAACAGACTGCAACTGGCATGTCATGATCATAACATTTTGATTACTGATTGCCATGCAATGTCTATTTTGTTTGTTGTATGCAATCGTTAAAGTACGAGCCTAAAGCGGCCAAGCTAGATGATTAGCTATCTTGCTTCCTAGCAGTCAATACTTATAAGTTCCCAAGTGAAGACGGAAACAGCTGGAGCGTAAATAAACAATTATTACTTGCTTCTGCCCTCTAAAGGTGTTTACAGAATCGAGTATTAAGTCAGAACTCTTGTTTTTGTAAGACCCAAGACATGTCTCAATGAATGTTTCCTGCTTTCTTTTATTTACATTAATTTGCCTCAACCCAACTGATGAAAAAACACCCAATTCACATTCAGTTTACTGCGACATAAAAGTAAAACTGTGCAAGCTATTAACTGTGGAAAATAACTGCGTTCATCTTAAATAACTGCAACCCATTTGAATAACTGTGATCAGGTGATCATGTGATAACTGTGACCGGCCTACAACTGGCTGTATTGACTAACAGAGGCAGGGCTGGGAGGTGATACAGGCTAATATCATTACCATGACATATAATTGCTAGTTAAGGGACTTAAAACACTAAAGGAAAGTAGGAAAAGGAAAGCAGGGAGGCCTGGAGAAAACAAATCCTGCATTTTCTTTACTACAATAAAAAACACCGACTGCAAGAAAGCACATCAAGTATATTTTTTCCCACATTCAACTCCATGTTCACTGTTTTTACGAACAGAAAAGGGTGAAAGGTCATGTTATATATAACATCTATACCGCCCAGAACGCTGAATACAAATTGCAAGCTGGATTAAAGTATTACTGTATGTACTTAGCAAAGCACTATGACTTTAAAGGATTATTCATTCACAGAGCTCTCAGCACATTTCTGAAATGATTTCAGGTGGAAGCAGCTGCATGTTCTTACTGTCAGCTATGTCACACTGAAACAGTTTAAATGTGTTTTGGGCGAGTCCTTGTACCAATAATTTTAAATCATATACCGGATTCATGATGTCTGATACAGAGTTCGAGAAGCAGTCTTAATAGGTATTTGTATGGGATGGATTTCTGCAGAAAATGCTGGATTGTAAATTGGGGAAAAAATCTAACCTGAAATAGCACTAGGGCTGTAATGATATGCAAATTCCACAATACAACATGCACATATATTTGTTATATGTTTCTGCATCACGATACATTCCCAATACAGAATTAGAAAAGAAATGCTAACATAATTCTTGCATTAATTTGTTTATTTATTCTTAATTCCCCAATTTTTTTTTGGAATTCCAACTGTTGTCCCAAAAAACAAAAGTGCTTGTTGAAGGGATAACTGGCTAAATTCATTTTCTGAAAACAACGTAAAACAAATAAAAAAAAAAAATAATATAAACAAAAGTGCAAGACCTGTTTCACATCGCACACGTGTTTGGCAACATTGAGTGTAATTATGGCTGATGATAATAAAAGTAAACAAAAAAAAATGTGTGGATTATAAGGCTACATCTCAAATGAATGAAATGAACTGAGCATTACAAGTTAGTTTACAGTCAGATCTTGTGTTTGTGCATGTCTGTCATGGCTGATAACTGGGCTGCTTCTGTTTGCTCGGTAATATCAGCTTTGATCACATGAGGTTACCAACTGCACAAACTGATTGACTTTTCTTTCCTTTATCATTTGAGGCAAAATAATTTAAACAGTTATGCAAAATTCTTGCAAAATCAAACTGCAACGAGGAAACTGTCAAACACTAAAAAGTCACTAAGCAAAGATGAAGTCAGCTTCTTGTTCGAATTTTCCCATTCAACCTTAAATGGTGCCTGAGGCGCCAGAATATAACTGCAGCACCATTTAAAGAGAAACAGGAAAATTCAAACGAGAAACTGACTTCATCTGCACGACTTCAAACAAGAAGCTGGAGAATGAGAAACTGACTTCAGCTTCACAAAAAGTCGAATGTTGAGAGATGTTTTAAACAAAATTATTCTACTTTTGAGGAAAAGTTTCCTGGTGGAGATGCGAAAAAAGCAGCTATAACTGAGCTAAAGCTTAAAGCAGAGCAAAGTAAGTCTGTGTTTTCATTTATATGATATTCTCTTATCTATACTAGTATATTAGAACATACTGAGACATATTTACAGTCGAGCTGTTTAAATGGGCATAAAATGTTGTGGCTCCCAAGGTTGTTTGATTTTTGTTGAAAGGACAAAACGGCTCTTCTTAACATTTGGGTTGCCGACCTCTGCTCTAGTGTGACCACTGAGTTCACAAACCAATACAATACATATTCACAAAAGATACTCCTGTATCTTCACGAACAATTGGCCTTAATTAGTAAAAGTTTACACACTCTGTGCACTTCCAGAACTAGGAAGCATTCAGAGAAAATCACTGCTGATGATCACATCCAGGTCACATCCAGTTTCAGCTCCTCCCCTCAGGCAAGCACTTCCCCCCAAATGAGGGTTAAAACAACCAAACTCTAGAAAAGCTCTTCATGCTATTACACTCATGATGAATTTTTGCAAATAAGCATGATGAGTTAATAAATGCACATTTTGTACTTTTATTTTATTGTATTCTTTTTAATCTTATTCAGTACTGCTGTCATCTATTTGGCTGCTGTATTTTGCATTTTACATACGTGTTTTATTCTAAAATGTGTATTTACATGAATGTCTACAGGTATAGATGTTTGCATGTGTGTGTGACAGTGCGCATGTGGGGTAGAACTCGGGTATTGATGTTTATGTTACTGCATAAGTGTGACACTTCTATTGCCAAATACTGTGTAACTGTGAGCTACTGTGTAACCAAAAATAAATTACTTGTATGTTTGAAATTACTTGGCCAATAATTCTGATTCTGGTTCTAAAAAAAGCACAGATGCTTGGTTAGTGTCTAATGGCTAATTTGAGATATATTTATTGGATATTTGTCAGGAAATGCTAGCTGCCTGCATCATCTTCAATGACATGGATGCACTGCACTCGAAAGCCCATAAATGCATCTATAAACAAGTTCCACTTATTGCATGAGCTTTAAAGTCCTTCATATGTCAAAACATTGGGGCAGTGTGTCCTTATGTTGTGATTAAACATGATGAGGGTGCTTATGTTTTTTTGTGTCTCATATTTACAGCATGTGGACTGAAAGTGAAGGTACTGGTGCTTATAAATGTAAAGAAATGCTGCCTATTTTATATATACTAATAATTTTATATTATACTGAAGGAAGTGAAATTAATATTTCAGTGACGAAACTTGTTAAGCAAGCTAATCACAATAACTGATGAATTTGTCTTATCAGTGCTGTTTAGGTTTTTACGCAATCTGACATCTTGCTTATATTTTTTATTGAGTATTTTACACACTCTAATATTAATAACTGTGCATGAATATCTATTTTGCAATCAAACAGAATGCCCTTTGGCTTAACTGCTTCCACAGGGAACACTGAAGTTATCCCAACATGACAAAAACTCAAGCTCCTCACCTATGTTGCCTTTGTCGTCTTCCCGGATATGAATGTCCTTGCTTGCCGTCTCAACCTCCAAAAGGTCTCTGAAGATCTCTTTGTAAACCTCAAGGTAGGACACTCTGACGGAGAAGTCAGTGAGGTCATTCTCGTCCAGTAGCTTGAAGATCTCAGCCACAGCTCTGGGAATGATCCCTTGTTCATCATCTCTGAAGGAGGCTGCAGCCAAAAAGCAGCAGTGGGTTAGTAATAGCTCTCCACAGCCAAATGCCAAAAAAGCACGATCTCAGATGGCAAGAGGGGCTGTGCTTTCGAGCAGTGACAGCTGCACCGGGGGAAGTGTTGTTGGCATCTCAAATGTGTGTGAACTCATAGGAAGATTTTAACAAGATGCAGGCAAAGCCTCTTCTAACCCAGAAAAATCACTGGCCTTGATACAGCTCAGAAAATCTGTAGCTGTCATGAGAAACTTTGATAAGGTAAGACTGGCAACAATAAACTAAAACACCCTCAAGCACGTCACGCTCCATTTACACAAGGCTGTGATTACTTTCAAGCAGGATTGAACAAGATGTAATTCAGACATGACTTACTTTATATTTGCTTGTGAAGCAGTTAAAATAGGCCTGTTCAGGACACAAATGTATATTTTATAGCAATCATCTGCTCTACGCAACACATTGTGGTCTTTTGTGACATCTGTCATAAAAAGAGGCCATGCAATGCTCCAATGCAGTGAATTTCCTGATTGAAATGTGCACTTTTCCACATAATTTTGTCTTTCAGTTTACTTATTCTTAGCAATAACTGATAATTGAATATATTTTATTCATGTGGAAATGATGCACACATTTCAACCACATAAATTCAAACTTACTTCTTTCACAGCCCCACTTTGAAGAATTATAGTATCAGATAAAAAAAAAAATCCTCACAAATGTTAGCCTCCCCAATCGTGTAGGTTTTGCCGGAGCCCGTCTGACCATACGCAAACACAGTGGCATTAAAACCCTGGAAGAAGGCCTCGATAAGGGGCTGGACACATCCTGTGTAAACCTCTTCCTGAGCAGAGCTCTCTTCGAAGACAAAGTCAAAGTAGAAGTGGCGATCGTGGCCAAGAGTAACCCTCCTGTCCTCAGGGTGGGTAGTGATGCAGCTCTCGTGGTTGTGCAGGACCTCTTTAGGGAGCAGTGGACGCACTCGCACTGCCACCTGCACCGCAGTGTCCTCTGCTTTACCCTGGCTGGCCACTTTTGGAGACATGACAAAGCCGACTAAAAGTCCACAATACCTCTGAAGAGCCGTGGCATGGCTGTGGTCATTTCAAGATGACTATCCAAAAGAAAAAAGAAAGAAAGAAAGAACAAAAGAAAAAAAGAAATTTAGTTACAAAAAATGTTTACACAAGAGACAACTTGAAACTTAGCTCATACAAAACCACACTAACAGATATCTTTATGTCTAGATAAGACTTCAGTAGTCCAGCAGTATAAAATACAACAAAAGACAGTAGTTAGTATAAGCCAAAAATGTTCTAACTACAGATAATCTATATAAATATATACTTTTAAAGTGTAATTGTATATATTTATATATTTATATATATATATGTATGTGTGTGTGTGTGTGTGTGTGTGTGTGTGTGTATACAGGGAGCAAAATGTCTAGAAAGACATGATATGAAAAGCACGCTACATTATACAACAGTAATAGTATTGTATAGTAAAGTATTATACAATGCATGCAAGTTTTACATACCGTTTATACGCATTCTGTTATTCTGTGCTTACTAATGCAGACTACTGTATTAAACGTTGATTTATAGCCTGTAAACTGGAGCTTTGGGATAACGTAATTTCCAAGGTGGCTAACTAACTAGTTACTTCGGCTAATTTAGCTTTTTGTACTTTTAAGTTTACGAAGCTGAAGTCAGCTTGTTGTTCCAATTTTCCCGTTCCGCCTTAAATGGTGCAGCGGTTGCATTCTGCCGCCTCATGCTCCAGAATTTAACTGTTGCACCATTTAAGGTGGAACGGGAAACTTGGAACAACAAGCTGACGAATAGGAAGCCAACTCTAGTCTCGTTGTAAGTTATACGCTTGCGTGAGGGAATTCTTTCGCTGTTTAATAAGTTTTGTCTACTTTGATGTAAAAATAAAACTTTGTTATCTCTAATGCTACGTCGATCAACATTAGCTCGCGAAAACCCGCTAGCAAGCTGGAGAAGAAAACAAAAAGATCTTTGTTTTAGCGTTTAATTTAACCTCATGAAATGCTCCACTTTTTACACCGAATCTCCCTAAATGAATAAATGGTTTAAAGGGTGCCACCCCAAATCGTAAACCCTCTCATTCTTTCTTTTTGATTTAATGTTCATAAACTTCCCAACTTACTGTTGTTCCAGTCTCCATCTTCTATTTCACGCCCGTATTCCGACAGCTCCCGCCTTCTCTCGCTGGTGTTGGCAGACTACTTGCGAGTGTGCTCTACTAACCAATCACAGCGCGGGAGGAGAGCCGCTAATAGCCAATCGCAGTTCAAAGGGGGCGGGACTTTCCCCAAATACGGGTGGAAAAAAAACAACGGACGCGATTCCTGAGATTTTCGCCTAGCCGAAGTGACGTCATGTGGTCGGCTTCCCAAACGCCTGTGTTAAATACAGCTACATGCTTTTGTGTGGTTTAAAGTTGAGGCTCAGAAATGCTCGCTGTTTTGTGAAGCAAAAGATTTCAAAACAGCTAAAAGCGACGACTTTACCGTGGGACAACGCCTTTTTGGTCTACGTGATGATATTGGACGGTCATTTAGATAACATCCATGCTGAAAAAAGACCATTAGAACCATTAGGATTGAAACCTTATGGTTTTGCTTTCTAGTGGAAATTGGCTTAACGTTAATGGCTACCATTAGAGACTACTAGTTTCTTGTAGGACATCTTTAGATCCCATTAGGAAACCATGAAATGTATCTTGAATCAGACCCTGAGCATCTGCTAAACCATTAGAAACCTTTACATTGTGATATCAGCCCATCAGGAAAACACAAAATACCATTAGTGACTACTGGACACCACCAGGAACCAACAGAAACTTTTAATGGTTTCTATGATTTATTTTTTTTCAGCAGGGATAACAAAACCTAAATCCTAGCACAAACCAGGGCTGTTGGCTTCTACACACAGCTAGGGCTCTATATTTTCAATTTGGTGCCTTTCTGTCTTAAAGTTGTTTTCTTATTTCTACAGAATTTAATAGTTTAATGGTGACTGGCAATGCTCCTTTTTAAAGAAACCATACAGAGTCAGAATTGTTCACAGTGATGGTGATAGGAACCAGACATCTGAAGAGTTTAATGGGTCTAAAAGCTCCCTCACAGAAAGTTATCACATGAAATGGCTGTGAATACACTGTCTGATGCCAGAGACATTGTCTTACATTAGGTTCGAGGTAAGCTTTAGGCTTAAAATATATTTTTTTTAATCCATTCATGGTGGAGAGGTACATTTAAACATTTATTTCCCCCAAATTTAGCACTGTTTTACCATAATCACTGTCACATATAAAACTCAGAAGACACATGTAGATTCACTAGTCAATTTGGATACTAATAAACTGGCTATATTTGCATTGTAGACATTGTGACTCCTGGTTCCTATCACTACCACTGTAAAGAAATGTTTGTCAATAAGCTTCTCTACAATGAACAACTTTACATCAAACCACTCTGGATGACTTTGTTTACATCTCAACCACTGAATCATACAGAACTTTTGAAAAATCAGTGGTATTCTCCTTTAACCATCATGAATGTAACCATGAAGCAGCTTATCTTGCTCTAAGGCATGACTTACTATGCATGACCTTACCTGCAGCTTTGCCTCTGGTAGACTGAGCCATTCCTAGTTGGCAGCTTTAGTTATTCACCAGTCTGTGTTTAAAGCTGAATTGGAGAATTGGGGGATAGGAGCTGCACCCCTGGAGCAATGTGGAGTTAAATGCCTTGAGGGTATGAGGGCAGGCCTTCATATTCAGATCACTGGTTTTCTATCAGTCAGGTGCGATGATCCTTAAAAACGATAAAAACTACCTCAGCAGCCAAGAAGAGCAGGGGCAACATTAATAAAAAAGACGAATGATAAAAAAAAGAATGATGAAAACGAGTCTGCTAATTTGCATCGGTTAGATATGAAAGCATTTGCATTTTTTATCATCAGCAAAGAACTTTGTACATCCAGAGTTTCTGCGTGTTATACACTTACCTTGTACCACTTGATCAGGTATGTGTTCAAATACAGACTGTAATTAAGGTAATAAATGTAACCATTTCAATACAGGAAACAGCGTAAATCACAAAACGTGTTTTTCAAAATTCCTGCTTATAATTGTTGAGATGTAAAGTCATTCAGAGTGGTATGATGTGAAATGGTTCATTTATAGAGAAACTTAACAACTCTATAGCCATTTTATTTACTATCAGAAACCACCAGTGAAACTACATGTCATCTGAGTTTGTATGTGTAATGCTGATGATATTTTAGGCCAAAACCTTATCTAAAACTAATGTAAAATTATTTTTCAGGCATCAGGCAGAGCTTTTAGAGGCATTAAACCGTCCAGACGTCCGATTCCCATCACCACCTCTGTGAATTCTAATTCTATACGTTTCTTTTGAACAGTGCGTTTCACATTAAACCACACTGAATGACTGTTTTTACATCTTTGCTGTTTAAATGTGCTTAAGTTTTGAAAAATGACCCATAATTCCCATTTAGTTCTTTACAGAATGTATTTTAACTGTGTTTTTGTAACATATTGATGTTGAAATTTCAATTTTGGTGGGTAAAAATGGAGACATCCTATATAAAGTTTTAAATGAGGCAGTGTAGGTTTTTGTTTGTTTATAGTTTGATTGCACTATTTGATGGGATCAGAATTTTGCACTAGTTTACATGCAACTTAAAATTATATTTTCCAGGTAAAATCAGTCAAGACATTTTTAACAAATGACATTTTAAAAATTGGATCGAATCTTAACCTCAGAACTGAAAATCACCTTGAACTTGAAAATGTGTATCATTACACCTCTAGTAGCCTATCTTTTGCTGCACAGTTCATCAGCCCCCTTTTATCCCATCCATGAAGGGAAAAGGACCACCAGAGGACCACCACTGACCAGATATTATGTGGGTGGTACACCATTCTCAGCTCAGCAGTAAGACAGTGTACTGTTGACCAGAAGTGACACACATTACCATCTCGGCATCACTGCTGTGCTGAGAATGGTCCACCACCCACATAATATCTGATCAGTGGTGGTCCTCTGGTGGTCCCTTTCCAATGACGAATGTGGCAGAAAGGGTGATAAACTGTGCAGTGCTACTGTCAGTAACTGTAAACCTACAAAGGGCACCTATATGGCAATTTAGTTTATAATTCACCAAGGCTACAACACACAAGTTAAAGAGATGCTTCTCAGTGGTTTAGTACATCAGTCAGTGTTTTTATTAACTCACTATTGTTTACACAATACTGTGCAAAACTCAGACTACCCTTTCCACAACCAGCTTCAACTTTTCTTCTTTTTGTCTATTTCCTTTTCTCAGTAAGGTCGTTTGACAGCTACACATCCTTTCAGACCCATAGTGCTGAGGCTTCTCACAGTGGAAGGATAGACAGAAACACCTGTGGATGTTTTCAGATCTGAAGCAGCTTGATTTTCTCCTCTCTCTCAAAGATGAAAGCTCTAAGGGCTGTTTATCTGATGGGGACAGTGTTGGTGTGTACCAGGTCTTCCAGTTGATTATTAGGAGTCCCATTTTCTCTGTAGCTTTAAAAAAATTGTAAAGTCCAGTTTGGAAACTCCTGATTTTTCACACATTTTTGTCCTCATAAATCTCTCTTGGAAAATATAATTAACTAATCTGATGGGGACAGTTTTGGTGGTCTACCAGATCCTGCATGGTTGTTAGGAGTCCCATTTTCTTTGTATCTTGTAAACATTTTTGTACTCTAGTTTTGGAAACTGGGGACTGGTGGCTTATATTATGACAAATAAAAAAATGTACATATTGTGTGTGTTTTGACTGGGAAATAAATAAATGAAAGGTGGTCTCTGACATTTGCACAGTACTGTACACTTTAATGTGTTATTTTTTGTTTCTCGGGTTTCTTACTTTGAGTTCATCTCTTGAAACCCATCACATCTAATGTCATTTATGCTGTAGCCTACTCACAACATCAAGTGCAAATGGTAAGGATTCTCAAGTATTCCCAAGGCCACACTCTTTTCTCTTTGTACACCACACCACTTGTAGTGGTAGCCATGGCTACATGCCACATGAATATGAGTTATATCCCCTCTCGTCCTTTCCTCACCATCATAGCCACTAAATTGCCGTAAGAAAATGAATTGCTTTTATAACAAAACCATGCCATTTAATTTCGGCGGCCAATCTTGGGGCTGATGGGTGCAGACTGATATTGCATCTATCCATCCTGTCCTGCATTTCACAGCCATAAGAAGACATTTATTTCCCCTTATTTAAATACACAGCAAACATTTAGTGTGAATTGTGATAAAGGCTGCTAAAAGAATATGTGATTCATTCAGATGTGTGTGCAATTGTTGCTTATTTATTTGACCAAGAATGAAACAAAAACTTGAATGTACTGCTTTTATTTCAGTTTGATTAAAACACCATGACAGAATTCAAAATAAGAAGCAATGATAATTAAAATATATTTATGACAACAGCAGAAATGAACTGGTTATTGTGTCTCTTACCAGCATGACACAATAAATATCTGACTCCATCAGTGAGCTATTGATCTTTAACTGCTTCTCAATCAAATATCAAGAATCAATACATACGTATATTGATATTATGCATATCAACACTACTTAGAAAGAAACGATTGCTGGTGCGTATGTCCTGGTCACTGAGGTAGACTATGACTTGTTGTCACAGTTGATGTATATTCAACAACAAAATCACTAGTCTTCCACAGCGGCCAGAACTAAAGCAGAATCTACAATGTGGGTCTTTCTATCGTTGCGTCCCACAACTTTAAAGCCATGAAAATGAGCTCAAAAAATAAATCACAGAAAGATTCTGATGTCTGTGTATTCTTTGTTCTATCCCAAAATGACCCACCAAAAACTATGACAGATCTTCTTTTTGAATTTCTATTTTAGTGATTTTTAGTGCTGTGCATGAAAAAACAGCAGATCATAGCAGTGACTTCACAGACCCTAAAGTATCATTTTTATGTGATCATTTTCATTTTTATGTCGAAATTTTCACACAATGTAAAGGGCAGCTGGTGTTTACAAATTAGGTAAAAAGGATAATAAAAAAACAAAAATGGGGATACAAGGTTTTGTTTTGACAGTGACAAAATATACTATAATATAAACATAAATGATAAATGTGTATATTGTCGCTGTC